GGCAGAGCCAGGATTTGATCTCTTTCCTGAAAGCCATGAGGGAGGGGGCACACACACGCACACACACACACATATACTTGAATAATATTTGTATTAGATAAGTAAATATAGAATTGAAATTATTTATTATGATATATTAACATTTTTTCCTCTTTGTTGTACTTTTTTCACGTTTTTGTTAAATCACTTTTATGAGGGTTTTTTGTAATTAAAAAAAATGCCAGAAGGGAAGTGAATAATCTCAATCTGTGTTGTGAGGGGTTGGCTAACCCCCCAAAAATAATTGTACACAAAACTGTATAAAAAGAGATCGGATCAAAACCCAAACATTAGTCTTCTAAACGCACACATACACATATATACACAAAAAGATATAAAACCCACAACACCTCCCCAAAACCATAACTCCCTGATATAAAATATATCTAGTTATATTTTATTTGTACCATATTGAAAATTTTATTTCAATTTAATAAAAGCTATCTTAGGTTGTACCCAATTAAGCAATTGTATTATAGTCCCAAATTCCACAAACAAAACACGTTAAACCTTATTTTTAAACCAGTTACATAAACATACCTCTTTGTTTAATTCTGTGGTAATTACACTATTCAAAGATTTATTTTCTTTGATTTTGAGTATAGCAGTTACATATATGTTGGACCAAATGTTCTATCCAACTGAACATCAGTGTCTTTTAATGGCTAGATAATTAATGTGAATGTGTGTATCTTTGAGTCATACGTGGGAATGTTAACTGAATTTGACCTTTGGACAGAGAAATAAAACTGGGGGCTTAAATTTAAGCAAGTCTGCCATTCCAGGAAACAAAATAATTATCTATCTTTATTTCTTAATTTGCTTAACTTGTTTCACTACCTATTTCTGTAGCTGGAGATGCCATTTTTAAATGCTATTTTTTATATCTTTGGATCTGTTTGTTGCCCACTTCAGAATTATATGGAAATGGTATAACTACTTTGATATTTACTATAGTACACTTATCTGCAAGGAGCTGTTATGTTCTAGAGTAAAGAGCAGGTATTTGTAGTATCTTGTAACCACAGCATGATAGGAAGCAATCCTCAAAATAGTTTTACTTCAGTAACTGATCTTTGACTGCTATTGCTTAGATTCCAGTTTTAAGTTTGAGCTAGTCCTAACATCATTTTTTCCCCACTTTCTCTTTTCCTCATATTGAAATGTTGTAGAACTTATGCAAGGTACATACTGTACTTGGATTTATTAGGTTACCTGAACTCTCCCTTATATTTGTAGCAATTCATGGTAGTAGTGACACTGAGTTTCAGGATGGGGGCCAAAATGTGTTATAGCCCTCTCAGGAACGTAGCTGTGTGAGAGGTTAGCTCAAGTGAATTGATTAAAATGGTCCATAAGTATGTCTGAATGGCTAAGCTACAGAAAGTAGTGGGATCACATCTACCACAAGTTTTTTATGATAGCTGTATCAATAGCCATCCTGAATATGCTTAGGATGGATGGGAAATGCATTCTAGAAAAGTAACTTATTCCACTTTATTCTTCAGATGGAGTGCTGTTTCCACCAGAACTTTTTGATGTAAATAATGATGGTCTCCCTGATGTCTTGCTCTCCTTCACAGCTTTGAAAAATGCTAGCGTACTGGGTAAGTATGCAGATCCTAATAGCTAATTTCAGAATTGAGAGCACAACTCAATTGTAGCATGCTAGCAACCTGCAAACCCAACCTTTTCTGTAACTCCCTTGCCTGCAAGGTACATGGACACAATTTCTCCATATCTGGAGGACAGCTTTTAAACAAAGTATTTAGAGTCTTCGATGTCTTACTGCACAATCACTTGCTTTAAAAGGGAAAAGGAAAGCAAGCACATACACATTAGCCTTATACCTATATGGTCATTGTCCAGGGTGCAGTCCAAATTGTCTCTTTTGTTCCTGTGAAATTCACATACAAAGAGCTGCATGTGGCCCCCAAGTTTTAGTATGGCTGCCAGGTCCTCCTGAACTTTTTGGCACATACTGCATGAAAGAGGGTAGGATAACTGGAGATGGTAGTGGTAGAATAAACATATGAAAAGTTAGATTGGGTATTAGAAAGATTGGTACCTCCCCACCTGAAACATTTCACACAATCCGTAGGCGGCTCTCAACCCCTAAAAGCTTGTGCACCTCTGACAGATTAGCACAGGAGACTCCCTGGGGCTTTGCGGGAGATAGTGCAGAAAAGGATTACCCAAATGTGACAAGAGGCTAACACTTTGAGGAACTGCTATAACCTTTGCAGCTTTATAGTTCAGAAAAAAAAGGTGGTAGGCTGTTTAAAATTGTGTAAGTTCCCTACCCTACAAATTATTATTTGGGTACATTTTTGCTGTTGTCTCACTTACGATTTACAAATGTTTTCCCCAAATGGTCTGCATCACATGGTGTACTTCCAAAGTGTAGGCTGCTAGTGCTACATTGTGTTGTTTCTGTAGTGCTATGAAAGACGGTGTCTTAACCGATAGAGGAATTGATAGCAAACCCTGGGAACTTGAAAATGGAAGACAGCACTGTCAGGGTTTTATTCCAGTTGGTTTGGTAAATGTTTGAGGAATGAGGCTGGCCGATACAGGCAACATCTTTTTAATTTGGACTGGGGGAGAATGGAGTGGTGAATAACAGGCTAAGCCATTTTACTAAAGGAAACAGCTCCATTCTTGTACTTGCCTTATGTTAGCTTGATATGGTACTTTATAATTCAAGGGTCACTTTTGTGTAGCTTGTAAAGTATGGACATTCAAGAATTTTAGAATAGAAGAGGGGAAAAGGGTTGTCATTTCAGGCCTTTGCTTCACTTAAAGAGGGAGAGATGGGTGGAGGGTGAAAGAGTAATGAATGCAGGTTCATTACAACGGGGCCACTAGTCTCATTCCCCAGGTTTTTGCATAACATCTAGATGCAAGTCTTTGAACAGAGGGTTGTATATATGTTTAGCTGAATATTTTCACTTCAGATCTTATTCCCAATGTGTTGGGGGTGCACATGGGAGAATAGCAGAATGGTGACTTGGGAGCAGGTCCCGAACATTTGGCCCATCTCTTTCTCCATGCATTCTTGGGACAAGTGAAGTACCGAACAGAAGGGAGAGCAACTACAAAGTAACACAATGCATCGAAAGAGAAGGAACTGAAATGTGTGGTATCATTGCATTTAAATTACAGTTGTCTGAATATAGAGGCTAGAAGTTAGAGGCATTAAGTGGGGGAAGGTTGATGCAGAAAACGGCTGATTTTATCTTGTGCTAAGAAATGGCTTGCTTTACCACCATATGTTGAATCAACTACAATTGGTTGGGTTCACATATTGTACTATAATATAGGCACACAGGTTTTCTCCATCAAGAGCCATTTTGGGCCATTGAGCTTGAAGGGGCTGAAAGCAATGGGTAGTACAAGAAAAAACAAACCTAAATTGATTTCATTTTATTTACATTTAGATAAAATTAATTGTAATTGATACAAGTATGCTAATGTATTTCCTCTTTGTAACTTTTCTCTTTGGACACATTACAAATTCCAATTTGGTAACAAGTTTGAAGATTTCTGAGGATTACACCCAAGACTTTTGGCCTCAAGTTGTACACCTTTGTACTATGCCTCAAAACATGATTTGCAATCCATAGTATTATATTCAGATGGCATAGTAAATCAGACACATGCATCATTATCATTTAATCTGATATGTGAACCCAACTATTGTGAGTTTTTAAAAAACAAGACCCTTCGTTGGATAGGGCTTTGGCCAGGTAATTGGGGTAGGGAAAAGCATATGCATGGAAAACAATCTGTGCTACCTTTTAGATCTTGAGTAAGAAATATTGAAGCTCTATTTCGTTTATATGATTCTTCAATATGATGCATGTTTAAACACTCCTAACATATACTCTTCAATAAAGAGAACATGGTCAAGTAACAAAGGAGAGAAAACTGAAATAAATCTTGTTCTGACTGATGTGTTAGAGGGTTTTCAAGGAGGATTATTTCTTGGGCCTTGGATGCTAACCTAAGAATAAAGAAGTTCTTTTTTTCAATTGTCCCATAATTAACACAGTGGAGGTGAGCTCTGTTGATAATGAAGCTCAAGCTCAGATACTTTGGTCACTTAATGTGAAGAGAGATCTCTTTGGAG